CCCCCAGCGCCGCCCGCCCCTGCTCGGGCTCCGGCTCCGGGTACCCCGCAGCCCGGCCCGACGTGCGCCCCCCGACCGCTCCCTCCCAGCCCGGCTCCGCGGGGCTCTGGCAGGCTCCTGGCCGGGGCTGGTTCCGGGGCCGCAGGGCTCGGGGCCTCCCGCGGGGCGCCCACATCCGCCCGCCCCGGGGTAGCGACAGGCCCGAGGGAGGGAGTTGGAGGCCCCGGGCCGCCGTTGCACGGGCCCGGGGTCCCATCACCCCCATTCCTGGGGAGGACTGACCAGCGGACCGGGGAGGAAGGGACGGCCGCGGCGGGCCGGGGAAGGGGCGGTGCTCCGGGGCGGAAGGTTTGGAAGCGCGAGGGCAAAGGGCAGGACCCACTGAGTTGGGGCCGGGCTGGTGGCGCTGGACATCAGCACCCCCATCACGCGGATCCCGGCAGGGCTGTACCCCGACCCCTCAGCTACGGGAAAGTGATTCCCTGGAGGGAGGGTCCCGAACTGGGAGGTTTCTCTGAGCACCGCCCCCCACCCTTGCTCCCATCACGGCGAAGAGACACCTGTACCCAAGTGAGCTGCAGAGGGGCCAGCCTGGGTGGGGACCGCAGGCTGTGTACTGAGTGGTGGGGGACAGGATGTGAGGCCCCCAGGCCTGGGGTCTGTTGGTGCTGGGGAGTGTGAGAGCGGTAAATCTGGCAGCTGGGCTGGGCTCTGACACCGGGAGTTTCTAGGCCTGTGGGCTGGGAGAGAGCCCTCTGGGGCCTGCAGGCCACCTAGCTCCCTCCATCCCCACCCCCATTTCCTTCCCTCTGGCTGCCCATTCAGATCTGACCTCCCCTGCCACTGCAACTCCTCCCAGCAAGTCCAGGCCATTCTCTGGTCCCTGCTGGCTGTCCTGCATACCCAGAGGCCTCCCCCTGCATCTGGACACTGGCTGTGTTGCTGCTGCCCATCCCTCTCCACACACCAACTCAACATCTGCTTGAGGCCCAGCTCTGCCTGACCGTTTCTAGGGTGAGAATGGGGCACTGGACTTTAGTGGCCCTGCAGGGGACTCAACATCTGGACTTTTTAGCCTGTTCCTGGGATTTGCACCTGGACCCATGGGGACCTTCCTCAAGACCCTGCCCAGCCATTGGGCTGAAAGAAAGGAGACTGTGACTCAGTTTCCTACACCATAATGGGGCATCTTGACAGCCCCATGTCTCCACAACAGGACCCCTTAGGCCTGGTCCCTGAAGTGGCTTAGGCTGTCACACACACACTTCTGTGCTCACGCCAACCCTTTTAGACTTCCCAGTCTCCTTTTCTAGCTTCTGCAAGCCATCTCTTAGCTCCTCGTTGCTTAGCATCTCATTCTCCTTTTCTGTTCTCTTTCCCCTCTACCCACTTCAATTAATACGTAATTGTCCACTTTACTGCAGTCACTTCTGAGGGAAACTAAGGCAAAAAGCCTGTTGCATTGTACCCACTGAACCAAGATTAGAAGCCGCTTCTGGACCTGCTGGGACTCCTCCCCGGCCTTTAGTCCCCTGATATGCCTCTCACCTGGCAGGGCCAAGCTCAGAGGCAGGGTCAGAGTGTTACATCTGGAATAGCCTGGGGCAGTGTTCTCCTGAGGCCTGTTTCTTAGCTTGAGCCCATTCGTGCTTGTCTCCCTCACCACCAGGTCTTAAGCTGGGATCCTGAGGCTGGAAAGTTGTGTTTAGGTCTTGTACTGACCCTCCCATGAATCTACAGTGGTCACTCTGCTTTGACACTGAAGTTCAGTTTCCTCATCAGCAAAATGGGGAGAAAATTTCAGGTGCATTTCCCAGAGCACGGAGGAGGAGAGGTTGGCTATAAAGAGAGAGATTCGTGTCCAGTGATGAGGCTGTTATGCCCCACTTCCTACAGGGATAACGGACCCCAGCTTTCCTCCTTGGTTGTTTCTGCGAATGAGAGTTGGAACTTTCCCTTTCTCTATCCTCTCCTCGGTCATGATAATGGGACTGAGAAACTCATGTGTGATGGGCGTGGGGAGTAGGGACCCTCTCCTGGCTGGAGGCCTGCTTGCCCAAGGACCCCAAAAGCAGAAGCCTGTGTAACTCCCACCTCCGCTTTGTCTTCTTTCTCTTGCCCTTTCATTAAGAGCTGGTACTTTAGAAGTTGGCAAGGACCTGAGAGAAGGTGGGCTAATTCAAGGCCCAGTGTCACACAGTAGGGAACGGCAGGCCGAGTGGGGCAGGAACCAGACCTAACTCTGCCAGTGCCCATTCTCTTGGCCTTCCCTTCCCTTCCCGGGGTCTGGCTCAGGTCCTGCCCGTGCCCTCCCCACACACCTCAGCCCTGGCCTGTCTCAGCCAGACTTGAGACGGGGGCCTGTAGTCAGCCTGTATTGCTGGAAGCAGGACTAGAGTGAGGCCTGGGAGCTGGGGGGAGGGCATCTGTCCTCCCTGAGGCTCTGGGACTATGTGTTTGTATGTGTTGGATTTGTTCACTAGATGGGGCACTTCCTCTGGGGCAGGAAACTTTGATTTCCTGTGGTGGGGGCGTTGGTAGGATTAGGCGGAGGGTCTCAGCTGTGGGCCTTCCCTGATGTTGTTTGGAACCACAGAGGGATAGCGTTTCTGCATAAGCCTGCGTCCCCCCAACCCAGAGGAGGCTGGAGGGAGAACATTGGTGAGGAGGCCCAGGCTGAGGCTGGAGAAGGAGGCCATGAGGCCACTGAGATGAGGGGGGCTGAGGGCAACACAGCAGGAAGCCTGGTCAGCAGGTGACCCTGCCGGGTATTGTGTTTCCCTGTGATATTTACCCCCTGTTTCTGTGGTAACATTCCCTGGGGGACCCAGGCCCTCTGGCTGCAGGAAGGTGCCCCCAGACAGCTCTTTCCTTAGAGGTCTGAGTATTAGGAGGAGTCCCTAGACCTGGCCACCTCCCTAACCCTTTTGGCTGCTAGGGCCAGGGCCTGGGAGTCTAGGCGTGGGCAGAGCGAGCACCGAGGGGTGGCTGGGTAGAGCCCCTTTTGCATCTCCTTAGGGTGGGAGGAAGGGAATGATATGGGCTGCTGGACTTTGGGGAGGGTTCTGTGCCTCCCCTCATCCCATCTCTCCACAGTTGTTCTCCAGCAGCAACCCCCCCCCTGCCCCCAGTAAGGGGGAGGTAGATGGCATGCTGCCTGGGGCAAGTGATAGGGGTGGAGGTGGCAGAGTGGGGAGGGATGTTTTCATCAGCAGAGCATAGCTCCTTTGGTCCTGGACCAGTTCCCGGAGGCAAAATAAGTTCAGAATAGCATCTGTTTAGTGTGGGTCAACATGTGATGGGTGTGTGTGCACACTGGGTGTGTGGTGGGGGCCTGTGTGTGTGCCCCAGGCTGTGTATGTAGATACTGTGGTTCCATGGCAATTTGTGATCCATGAGGTAGCTTTGTGTTGGGTGTTTTGGGAGTATGCACACATGTAGTACAGATGTGTGTCATCTGTATAGTGTACACCTTTGCAGTTTATGGCTCTGTGTGGGGTATATGTTCATGTTTTGGGGCGATGTATACCTGTGCAGGAATGGCTTTCTCATAGAAGTCCAGATGTTGGCTGAAAAGCATCATCTCATATGTGGTCCTCAAAGGCCAGTTCCTGGACTAGTTGCTTCTGAGTCACCTGGGACTCTGTTAAAAATAAATAGCCTCAGGGCTCATCTAGACAGACTCAATCTGCAGGAGCAGGGCCTGGGAATCTGGATTTTAACATGTGCCGCAGGCAATTTGATTCTGGTGCAAAGCCGTGTTTGAGGACCACTGATCTGAGCCAACTCTTCCTTTTTTTCTTTTGTGGAAACAGACTTTTAGAAGGTGTGTGGTTTGTCAAAGGATACAGGGCTATTACAAGGAAGCACCAGGACAGAACTCAAGCCTTTGAAGACTGATCCAGGGCTTAGCCATGCATCCTCTATATGTACACGTGTGCCCATGTGCACACTTGGTGTGATGGAGGGGACCAGATAGGGCTGGTGCGCACGCTAACTGGGCCTTGACCTTTCCCCTGGAGTCCCAGGCTTCCTGACCCTGTTCTTCCTGTTACATCCCCGCTTCCTCCTCCCTGGGGAAATCCTGGAACTGTTGAGCGCCAACCCTAAAGGTGATGTTGGCAAGCGGGAGGCCCCATTTACTGACCCAGTCATTCATCATTCATCCATTCACTGGAAGCTTATGCCTTGCCCTGTGCCAGGCACCAGGCACAGATACGCAGTGAACACGTAGGAAGAAGAGCATCTGACTTCAGGGAACTTCCACTCTAGTGGAGAAGACAGACAATAACGAGTAAGCAAGTAAAGAAATGAATATATACCTCTAGTTACACATTGTTATAAGCCCTACGAAGGAAACGAACTGGGTTCAGCAATAAAGAATAGCAAGGTGGGACTTTCTTAGGATGGCTAAGGGAGGCCTGCCTGAGAAAGCGACACTGATGCCTTGTCTCACCTCCTCAGACTAGAAGCGAGCCCTCAGAGCCTTCTGAGCAAGCTTGGGAACTGCCTGGGTCCAGGTAGGGGACCTGAATTGCTAACCTCTTACCTGGCGTGGAATACAGCAGGGTTTCCACTCCCCAAGCAGCCCCCAGAGGTTGACGAGGGGAGAGAGGAAGGTGGGGAGCTGCCCAGGGCTGACACAGGCTGCTCTGTAGCCTGGAGGAGAAGACTGTCCTTCCTGGTCCGAGTCCAGGGCTCTGTGGACATGCTGGATGTTGGGGAGGCGGCAGCCTCTCTTCAGGAGCCTTCAAGCATCACCTCATTCCTGACCCTCTGCTTGACCTTCCCAGCCACCCCCCTTCCTCCCCGTCTCCCTGCCTGGGAACCCCTCTGCCAGCTCCAGCCCCCTCTGGGTCTAGCCTGGCTGTCTCTGTGGCCACTGGGATTTAACCTGGCTCAGGAATCACTGAAGAGAGAGGGGGTCAAGGCTGAGAGAGGACTTCGGCCCTGGAAGAGAGGACAGAGCCAGAAAGAAGGGCTGGGGCAGGAGCCACAGAGGACAGGAGAGAGGGTAGAGAGACCTTTGGCAGGGCACTCCAGAGCCTCTCTTGGGCCCTTGGAATCTGGGCCCCAAACTGAATGAGACCCTCAGCCCAGAGGAACAGACATCAGCTAGAAGGCAGTGCTTCCATCTGGTCCCCCTGCTATCCCACCCCTTCCCCCTCTCAGGAGGTTAACTGTCACATCAGTAGGCGGCCTTCAGACTCGCTCACCTCTAACCTCTTCTGGTAGGTTTTCTTTGGGGTACCCAGAGCTGTGGGCTGCAGGTAGATGCAGCCCTTGCCTTACAGAGTTGAGAATTAGGGGAGCCTTCATGTAAGAGAAGAGGCTATCTCTGCCTCCACTGGCATTCCACCCTGGCCTCTTTTAGGTTACTCAGTGCAAAAAGCCCCTGGACTTGTGTGCCAAGTTCAACCCTAGCCCCTCCATGAGTCCCACAGGGTGGGGAGGAGACTTCTCCTAATGAGGAGGGCCCTGGGCTAAACTCACCATCCCCGCCCTTTTTCCAGCCACTTCCCTTTTCTCCCTGTTCCTGCAGGGGTTGGTAACCCTGTGGTGAGAGACCTTGGGCCTTCAGGGCCAGTCTGTGCCCTGGAGAGAGCAAGGCGTACGTAGTCTATTCCTCTTCAGGAGTCCAGCTCAGCTCCCTGCAGAGCCCATTCCAGGGAGCCCAGCTATGGCTCCTGCAGTCACCCCCAGCCCTGAAAGCCCCATTCCTCCCTCCCCCAGCTCCCAGCGGGGCAGGCTGGGAGCCACAGGGTCGGAAAGAGCCGGGGTGGGGGAATTCGGCAACTAGGCTGAAACCTAGGCTGAAACTGGCTTGTTTTGCTTGCCTTACAAACCTGCATGGGCATCTGCTGCTGCGCCCTCTGGGGCGTCCGGGCTGTAGAACTGCTCTCAGAATGACAGCAGGCCGGTGGCACCCAGTTGGGGCAGGGGGGTGGGGGTGGGGTGAAGGCGGGGAGCCCCAGGCAAGGGGGAGCTGGAGGGTTAAAAATAGCTACCGCCGGGTTTCAGTTAGCAAATGTGGAGGCGGGGAGCTGGAGGCGGGGCGGGTGGCAGGCAGTGTGTGCCCACAGCACAGGGCTGTGTTTCCCCTGGGTCCCAGGAGTGAGTCACAGCAGCGGAGCTTCTGAGGAGGTGCTGGCACCTCAGCCCCCCACCCTGCCCCACTCAAGGGGTGGAACGCAGGCTTCATCTCGGGGGTTCTGGAGGATGTGCATCTCCCTTTTAGGCCTTCAAGGCTGTCTTAAGAATTGGGCCAGGGGCATTGTGTGATAGAGTGGAAGAAATCTGCCATTCTGAAGCCAAAGACCTGGGTTTGAATCGTAGCCGAAAGACTGCAGGACCTTGTTCAAGGTTGCCAAGGGCTCTAAGTTTTGGTTTCCTAGTCTTTCAAGTGGGGATTTTTTCCCATGCATGTGCAAGCACATGGTGGATTCTAAAGCACCCTTAGATGTTAATTATACCCTTAGATCTGCTGTGCCCACTGCAAAGCTTGGCAGGAGGTCCTTCCTGTAAGGACACAGAGAGGGAAGCATGGATGACCTTTGCAGAGTCTTCATTTTACCTGCAAACAGCTAAGTGTACCTACCCTTGGGCACGTGGCTGTCTGTGCCTCAGTTTCTCCATCTGTCCTAATAATAGTTTCATCCTCATGGAGTTGCTATAAAGATTAAAGTAACGTTAGCACCGTGCCTGGTATGAAGTCAGTGCACAGAATATTCATCATTATTATTAATGTTATTGTTCATATTTTTGAAGGTCAGGGGTAGGGAATGCTAAAGACATGAAGAACAGAAACTGGGCCCAGCCCCAGTTCACAGAAAAAACCAGGCCAAATTCACTGTTCCAGATTCCTCCACCCATAAGGGCCTGGAGCAGCAAGGCGCCTGGAGCCAGAAGTCACAGGGTGGACCCCTTCTCTCTTTCACTCCACTGCCCCCAGCCTCCCTCAGTGAGGCAGGACGTTGGGGAACCCAAGGGACGCGAAGCCAGCTGGCCCTGGGGAGGGTCTGGGACTGGACTGCCCCCGATATGGCGTACCTTGCCAGCATCTGCTTGGGTGACCTTTATTTTAGCCCCTCCCTGGCAGCTCTTAAGAGAAACATGAGGCAGAGGAGGAATGGGAAGGTCAGTGATGTCAGCAGTGAGTATTCCCAGCACAGCGGCCCTGGAAGAGGCAGGAGGCATTTCTTTCAGGAAATGATCATTATTCAGCCTACAGGCATTCACTGAGTAAGTCCTGACTTTGTGCCCAGCCCTGTGCTAGGCCCTTTGCATGATTCATGAGAGGCAAAGGATGCTGGGTTGTAGATCACGCAGGAACTCAGAAGCCATGGGGTCCAAGAGTTCAATATGTGGGGTTAATGCAAGCCCTGTGGCTCAGGTCTCTGGGAACCAGAGGTCACATCTTGACTTTGCTACCAATTGGCTGTGCTACCTTTATATTTATATGTGTGTGTGTGATATACATATATATTCTATTATTACAGAGGAAGTTTGTGTGCATTATAATCAGACAACACAGACAAGCAAAACTTAAAAAATACCACAATCCCAGTAGTCAGAGATCACTGCCATGATACCTCAGTGCACACCTGCCCACTTCCTTTATATGTTGCGCTTTTTCCCAAAATGAAATCACACTGTGTGTGCTGTTCCTTCAGTGCTCTCTACCTTCCACTATGGCAAATTTTCATCTCATCGAATTCCCAGTTGGCTAGAAATTGTCCTTCACAGCTGGTTTGTTCAAATCAGGATCCAGGACCTGCATCTGGGCATTGAGTTCCCTGAAGACTGTGTAAGCAGCCTGGCTGGATCTGCAGTCTGGAAAAACCTGGCCCACCAAGTCTTAAGGGCACCCCTGGCCATAAAGGGAATCGTGCCACCTGGAAAATCTGCCCGACAGACCTCTGTCTGCCACCTCCCCAAAATAACAGGCAAAATGAAGGGGATACCTGGGCATAAGTGGGATGGTGATCTTGGGGGGTATTTATTTTCATTAATATTGATGTGGCTTCCCTGTGAGTGCCAGCATTCATAGCTTGTTGCTATTCACAGACTCATATCCATGATGCCCCCAGGCCACAGAGCAAGCCAGGGTCCTTGCAATGGCCTCTGCCTTCCCTGCCCCAGGTCTGAGTGTGCTGATGGCCCTTTGGCTGTGTTCTTAGTCCCTAGGAGCCTGCTCCGAAGGTGGGTGATCCCTTTTACACTACTGGGTGCTCCATCCCTTCCACCTGCCCACAGGGATGGTCTGTGTGTGTGTGTGTGTGTGTGTGTGTGTGTGTGTGTGTGAGAGAGAGAGAGAGAGAGAGAGAGAGAGAGAGAGAGAGAGAGAGAGAGAGAGCGTGCGCAAGAGTGCTCGCACAGGAGAGCAGGAGAGCGTCTCTCCCAAGGGAATTTGCTCACTGCTCACTGTGACAGGTGACTTGCTCTGGTTATGCAACCTGCATTTATACAGGCCTGACAGTTTCCAGAGTGCTTTCACATAGTGTGTGCTGCCCTGCTGCCCTGGGAGGTTTGCTTGGTTAGTTATACCCTGCTGGAGGCGGCTTATAGGAAACAATAAAGTAGTAACATGTACATTGGAAAAGCAGGGAAATATAAGATGAAAAAGGAAGTGAAGATGGGGTTGAGGAGTGCCTCTTGGAGACAAAAATCGTGTGAGGGTCACAGGCAGAGATTATTCTCTCTGTTTTATTTTTGTTGTTGTGGATGTTTTCTGGATGGAGGACTAGCACACTGTGGGGACATGCTGGCCCTGAGAGCTACCCCCAGGCCTTCACATGCTGGGCACGCACTGTGTCCTGTGGCCCCTCAGTGGAGGTGGATGGAACTAGTTGTGCGCGCCAGTGTTGTGATTATGAGCTTAGGTTCTGGGATCCCAGAAGCCCCGCTTGCCATCTGTGTGACCGTAGCACGTTTCTTAACCTCTCTGGGCCTCAGTTTCTTCTTTGTAAAATGATGATAATAACAGTATCTCTGTTATAGGGCTGTTGTGAGGACCAAATGAGATAGTACAAGTGAGATGCTTAGTACAGTAACCAGCACACAGTAAGCATTCAATACATGCTTGTTGATCAATACTAATATTATTCATAATTATAATGATTAATATTAATATACTATAACTTAAACTGTTCCCTGGCAGTCTTTGGAGTGGCTGAGTGGCCTCGTGGGTGGCACAGGTGAGAGAAGCTGAGGAAGGCCCATCTCCTGGCTCACATGCAGGAGGGGGAGGCAGACGGGCCAGCAAGCAGGGGTGGGGTACACAGGAAGTCAGGGTCTGGCCCAGGAGGGCCCAGAAGCTGAGGGAACAACAAGGAGGGCAAAGGAATGACTCTGAGACCTGGGGGGGGGGAGGGGGGATTGAGAGGCAGCCTGGGGGTGGTGCCCGTGCTTCCTGTTGGGGCAAGCACTGGCCCTTGAGAAAGACTGGCTGGGCTGGCTGCTAAGAAAGGAGCAGCTGGTTTAAATGGGGCACCAGGGGGGTGGGGGAGGGGGAGAGATAAAGACAGAAACTGACAGAGCCTCAGCCCTTCTCCCCATATTACAGATGGGGCTCTGTCTTGACTGCTCAGGATGTTTTGCTTATGATAGGAAAGATGGTGGTTAGGCATCATGGTGCACTTCCTATCTCAGGGATTGGAGCAGGGGAGTGAGAGTAAGTGGGAACTTTTGGTTTTGAGTGCTTTCAGGACCTGAGAAACCCTAGGGCTGCCTGGCCCAGGGGGGCTGGGACTGGGGGAGCCTGCCTGCTCAGAAATTCCGTAAGTGGGAAGGGCAGGCCTCCCCTCCCTGAGGAGAAGGTTGCGGTTGACAGGAAGTGGATGCTGGCCACCTTGGGCAAGTCGCTTTGCTCTTCCCTTCACAAAGGGCAGGCAGGGAAGACTGAATGGTGGGCCTGAGAGGCCCTGGAGGTCGACAGGGCTTGGAGGAAACCTGTTTTTCTTTGCCAGAGGACAGTGAGGCTCTCCTGAGAGGGCCAGTCCCAGGAACTGAAAGCCAGCAGCACACAGAGTGGCCCAGTTCCCTTTGCCTTAGGGTCCAGGGTTCTCCATCCAAAAGGAGAGGCACAGAGTGGACTAGAGGACCTGGGATGGGGGCAAGGACCAGGGAGGACACTTTTCCC